CATTACAGACTCTCGTCTTGTACTCCTCGTTCATCTGACGTTCTAACTCATTCATCTTCGAACTAGGTGTAGTAGCCGAAGACGATCTAACTTTCATAGCTTCCCACGCCGCCTCCGGGATGGAGAAATCTTCAGGGCCTGAAAGCCCCAGATCTCTGCATATGCGATCAACCTCACCCTCAACTCCCGCAATTCGGAAGCTGGTTCGATCACAGAACTCCGCTGATCGAGCGTGAAGGGATCCACAAGAGTTGTCTAGAGGCGACAAAGACGGCCCAGCATCATACTCACGGTACTTGACGGCGTTGCAGCGATCGAGCCGGGTTTTTCTTGGGACTTTATTCGGGTCCATGCCCTTCTTCTGCTTTCTGTGACCGAAAAGACGAGGTATGTGATGCATAGAGAACCAAATCCATCTAAAAACATGACATGGGTTTTGATCAGTAATTGTGGTCAGAATCTAGAAAGAACTTGAGACTTGTTCGACCATATGATTTCTTCTTCAGAGAAAATTGAAGAAATCTGAACTTGCGCTTCCCTCGCTGTTAAGAGAACAGTGGTTGTCAAGGCTCCAGTGGAAGGCGCTCAGGGGAAAACCCTCACCATAGATAACACCAGCGCCGACACGGGGATGCGAGGTGAAATGGTTATAGTGAGCGGAGGCAGGACCCAACCGGTAAACGCCATCGCCAAAAGAAGATAGAAAACGCGGCACCACGTGGACAGATTCTGTTTGCCCGTGCAGCTTTTCTTGTCCAGGTGGATCAAAAGAGATACAGTCTTTTATTCTTGTTTTTTTTTTTTTTGGCCAACAGATACCGTCCTATTTACCCGCGCACAAACAAAACGATAAATTATTGATTTTGGTCAAAACAAAAATGATATGTTTCTCCAAAAATAAAAAACATGTCTGAGGACTTGAATGCGCGTGAAATAAATTACTTAACTTGTATTGGATTTTAAATATTTATTTTATTGGGTGACATTAATCTATCATGTCGAGTAGTCCGACTGCATGATTAAAAAGATACTCAGCACACAAACTAGTGACTTGAGATGCACGCATGCAATGCATGGATTAACATTTTGCCATTAAAGCCGCTTGAAATTTAAATGCAGTTTTCCGAACGTAAGGTTCCAACATAGATTTTAAGGTTTGAGTGAAATTCTACCTTAATGTTTTGAGATAAATTAGAAATTTTCCCCAGTGCATCGATAAGCATATTTAATTAGATTTAAAATTTTAATAAATTGTATTATCTATGATAGCTGAAAAATTATTTCTTGCAAGAGTATTTTTTTTTTAATTCATTTTAATGGAAGTTCAATTAGAGATGCAAAATTTATGAGAAATAGCTGAAAATTTGAAATTGATTAGTTATTTCTCCACTTAAGCCCCAAATTGATATGCTAGTTAATTATGATATTCTCTATTTAATTTAACATATTCAAATTCTAATTAAGATATTATTTAAATTCAAAATTGATTATTAATTTCTTTATTCGAACCTTCATTTAAAATTACATTTATTTATAACGTTTTCCATTTAATTCAATATATTCAAATCTTAATCAATATGTCATTATATCTTATTAATTGAATATGTTTAGATCGCGTAGTCATACCCGACCCTTTTATAATCAAGTTAGGTATTAGAAGTTTTAAAAAATATGGTTGATAATAGTTGATTGATTGTCCCATATAAAAACAATTGGGAAACACGTATACTATCAAGGGCCTTTCATTATTATGAATTAATCGTAAAACAACCAATCTACTCCAAGATTTTTAAGAGGGGAGAGAGAATCGAAGGTCCGCGAGGAAAATATCTGCACACTGTATTTGTGAACTAGGCAGTGCTTTTTGCAGACTATTTTTTCCACCCTTTAAAAGCTCAGGGGGACATTTCGTTATTTACATTTCAAAATAATTGTTAATAGGAACCTTCTCATAAGAAACTGTGTACATTTGAGGTTGGTCATACAAGTATGCCGTAATTATAAATGAGCAGTTTACATTATCTTGGCGACACTAACAAAACATTTTTACTCTGATTTCCCCCAAACTCATTGTCCTTCAAATGTTGGGCTTGAGGTATTTGAGTTTTGGACTCAAAGTAAAACATGAGATATTGGAGTCAGTCTGTACCAGATAACATGGTAGAAATTGAAAATTCAAACACTAGCAGGCGACTCTTATATCTTCTCAAATCTTATTTTAACATGAGATCGCGTGTTCGACTTTTCATGAATGATCAGAAATACTGATGTACTATTTTCTTAGCAAAATATTGATATACTACTCATCCGATTCTTAATATAAGACTCATTTAATTAATTTGATTAGATTAAGGAAGTTAGGTAAGTTAGTTAATTATAAAAAATATGACACATTTTTCCTGAAATACCATAATCATCTTTCTTAATACCCTTCTTCCTCTTCAACTTGATTATGGTTGAGAGAATATCCAGGGGGTAATTTAGAGAAAATTGATAACTATGAAAAATGGGTCTTGTATTTAGGACCAAAACCAACTTAACAATTAGGTTCTATATTAAGGATTAGAGGAGTACTAAAAAACACAAAAACGCCATTCACAATTAATCCATCTTATCTTTATTGTTTTCAAAATCACAACTCATGTTCATCATATTATTGACATGGTTTAAACTCACAATTTTATATACCATTGAGAGGGTTTAGGCTCACAACTTTATATTCAAAAAAGTCTTAGGATAAGCATTGGTGACTTCTGGATTATAAAAGGACAGCCACACAACTATCCAGCCTGTTTGGCCAACCTTCAAAATCATGGTTTTAGAACTCAAACCATCGTTTTGGTTCTAAACTTGCCAAACATGAGAAGAATTTGACAAACTATGGTTTTAGATCAAAACCATGTTTCAGAAAAAAAATAAATTCATTTTGTTTCTTGCTCAAATTGGAGAGCATGATTGTACCTGTTAAAGTAGATATCAACAATAATATGATTTTAACATCCCTCAATTAATTTTTTATAAACATATTTAATCTTATATCTTATAAATATATACACGTATTAATTAATTATTAATTATATTATCTTATGTATTATTAATTATGTTGGTAAAAATATATTATAATAATTTATTCCTTCAAATTAAAATATATCATAAAATCTATCTTTTATATAATTATCATATTAACTTATTTTTTTAGTAATTTGTATATATAAAAAGTGTTTTTGATAACAATTACCCAAACACCCTCACTTCTCAGAATCACTTTTTCACAAAATCTATTCTTTACAAAATCTATTCTCTTTGGAATCTATTCTCCAGAAGTTATTCTTCAAACTATGGTTTGGTTTCATCCAAACACCCCTAGCCTATTGGGAAAATAAATCCCACCCGCTTCCGCAGTCCAGGCTTGGACAATTTAGGGCCTGTTTGGGTGACCCTCAAAACTATGGTTTTGGTGAGATGTCACCCAAACATCATTAATTTTGGGCCAATAATCTAAAACCATGGTTTTGGAATCCAAAACCATGGTTTCAGGAGAAGTGAATTTATTCTGCTTCTGACTCAAATTGGAGAGATGATTGTGCCTGTCAGAATAGATCTCAACAATAATATGACTTTAATATTCCTTGATTATTTTTTTATAAACATATTTAATCTTATATCTTATAAACATATATACACATATTAATTATTTATTAATTACATTATCTTATGTATTATTAATTATGCTGGTAAAAAATATATTATTAACAATTTTATCCCTTCAAATTAAAATATATCATAAAATTTATCTTTTATATAATTATCATATTAACTTATGTTTTTTTTAGTAATTTGTATATATAAAAAGTACTTTTGATAACAACTATCCAAACACTCTCACTTCTCATAATCACTTTTTTACAAAATCTATTCTTCACAGAATCTATTCTTCCCATAATTTATTCTCCAAAAACTATTTTTCAAACCATGGTTTGATTTCATCTAAAGGGTTAATTAATCCGCAAGTCCTTATAATTTCAACGAATTTTGAATCAAGTCCCTATAGTTTTTTTTCTTTTTATCAGGTCCTTATACTTTTATCTTTTTTTAATTAGATCCTTGTATTTATTTTTCTTTTAATTAAATCCTTATAATTTCACTAAATTTTTAATCAGGTCCATGTAGTTTTAATTTTTATTTATTAATTAAATATAAGCTTAATTAAATAGATTAATACTGAAATATAAAATATTAATAATTAAATTAAATTAATAATTATGTAATAAAAAAGTAATAGAATTAATTAATTCAAGAAATTTTTTTAGAACAATTAATTTTTTTGCTGAAAAAATTAAAATCATTATAATAATTCAATATCTTTAGAATATTATTGTTTATAAACTAATATTAAATAATATATACTATTTTATGTTTATATAATAGTACTATTAGAATTTATAAAATAAAGAATAAAAAATTCAAGGACTTAATTTAAAATAAGATGAACTTATAAGGACTTGATAAAAAGAAAAATAAATACAAAGACCTAATTAAAAACAGATAAAAGTATAAAGATCTAATAAAAAGAAAAAAAACTATAAAAACCTGATTCAAAATTAGTTAAAATTACAAGGAGCTGTGGATTAATTATCCCTCATCTAAATACACTATTAGTTAGGGTACCGGGGAGGGCTTTACTTGTCGCCCGGCCCGAATCCGGACTAGTCGATCGCTCGGGTACAACTGGCCCAAAGAGGCTGGGGCCCAGAAAAAGCGCGGTTGGATACCGGATGGTTTATATCCAAAAAAAAAAAAAAGCAAGCACACGAACTTTAAAATGACATTAAAAAAAAAAAGGTTCGAAATATGGTCGAGGCGGCAGCCAAGAAGGCTCGATTAGACTCGATTTATGGGGATTTTGCGAGGCCCAGAGATTGAATGATAATAAATAAATAAAAAAATAAATAGAAACAAAGCTGATTTATTAGAAGAGGTTCTTCTTCATACGCTTTCTTCTCATTCTCAGTATCCGAAAAGGAAACTAACAGAAATTAGCGTCTCTCGCATTCGCTTTCTCTATCGCCTCCCTTGCATCGCAGCACCACTGCCTGCATAACAAAACCCTATTCGGCTGTTCCTACTTTCCAACCCCATTTTAGATTTTCGCTCTATTCCTTCTGCCCACTCCCGAGCTCTCCCTTTCTATCTCAAACCGCATTCTTCTATGCGCTCATTTAGACGGTTGCCTTTCCGTATCATCTTCAATCACTGCGTCTAGGGTTAGTTTCTGTCTCATATATAATACTCTCTGCTCTTTTTTTATTTCCTAATTTATCCCTATTTTATCCTTCTCTGACCTGTAACCCTAGTTCCCTGGTCTTGGAAGTTTTGCATTATTGCCACGTTCATATCTCTGGGGTTTATTCTATCTGTGTTTGACCCTTAATATAGCTTCTGGGGATTTTTCTTTTTAGGGTTGAGCAGTTTGATGCTCTTGAGGCGTTGGCAATTTTATACTTTTTTCATGGTGACCATCGTTGTCCTGTTGTGTTTCCCTCACGAGATGAGGTCCTTTTGAACGTCTTGCTGTCGTCTGTAAATCCATCTTTCTCTGAAGATGGAGGCGTAGAGAAGTTCTTCACAACATTGGCTTGAATTTCAAGGCAGAGAATTCTCGTGTTTTTACAACCTTGACAAGACATGATCTGTTTGACTGAGGAATAGACGATGGTATATCTCATTATGGGTTTTTGAGGGACTCAATAAATTCCCCTAAGAAGTTATAGGCTTCAATCTGTCATAATTTGGAGGAGTAACCGGTTGTTTGGGTGGGAAGGAAAGTGGCGTTAAAGTTGTTGTTGTTATTATTATTATTATTTTTTGCATTGAAGGCAAACAAATCTTCTCGTGTCATTCGGGTTCGGTTGATATCTGCGGCTTTTTATCAGCTACTGGTGGATAAAGTCTTGCTGGTATATCTCTTTTTCTTGAAACATCTGGGATCAGGCAGGTTATCCTCGATTGGCATATAGGAGGTGAAGTTTTATAGTTGGGACCTGCAGTTTAGTGCAGAAGCATAATAGTTCCGTACAAGGTTGGAGGTGGTGAAGATAGCGCACAAGCTTTTTTGTGATAATTCTGATCATGTTCAGTGTTCGGTATGGAAAGAAGTGAACCTGCGTTAGTTCCAGAATGGTTGAGAAGTGCTGGAAGTGTTGCTGCGGCTGGCAGTTCAGCCCACCATTTTGCTTCTGCGTCTACAAACACAGGTTTTTTTTTTTGGAAAAATAATAGTAAGAATTATTAACATATATTTTAACTTTAGGTTAGCGTTTCGTTGATTTTTATTGCCTTCAGATTTAGAGAAATACAGATTTTAGGGATTCATTATGAGTTATCTATATTGGTGCTGCTTTGTACTAAAATAATTATGATAGTAATGTAACCATATCATCATTGTTGTGTAGATGTTCCTTCTGGCGCCCATCAGCCTAGAAATAGATCATCTAAGAGCAACGGTGATTTTGATAGCCCTCGCTCTTTGTTTTTCGAACGCACATCATCATCAAATACTCGGAGGGGTTCCATCAATGGTTCTGCGAAGCATGCCTATAGTAGTTTTACTAGGAATCACCATGACAAGGATCGAGATAGAGAGAAAGAGAGGTCAAGTTTTGGGGACCTCTGGGATCGTGACTCTTCTGATCCATTGGCCAACATCTTTACTGGGAGGATTGAGAGGGATACATTGCGGCATTCTCATTCAATGGTTTCCAGGAAACAAAGTGAGCTTGTGCCCCGGAGAGTTGCAGTGGATGCAAAATCCAGTGGCAATGGCAACCAGAACCATGGCAATGGCATACTTTCTGGGGGTGCTATTGGTAGTAGCATTCAGAAAGCTGTGTTTGATAAGGATTTTCCATCCCTTGGAACGGAAGAGAAGCAGGGAGTCCAGGGAGTCGCTGAAATAGGGAGGGTTTCATCTCCTACTTTGGGCACTACTAGTACTACTAGCCAAGGTCTGCCTGTTGGTAGTTCAGCTTTGATTGGCGGAGAGGGGTGGACGTCTGCACTAGCTGAAGTACCTACAATAATTGGAAGCAGTAGCATTGGATCTCTAACAGCACAACAATCTGGTACTTCAAATTCTGTGTCTGCTGCTCCTAGTGCAACAGCTGGTCTTAATATGGCTGAAGCATTGGCACAGACTCCATCTCGTGCTCGTACTGCACCCCAGGTAGTTGAGACAACTACCTGCGCTACTGTCTTTTGCTTCCTCTATTATGGTTTATTTCTAGCTGTGAAATTTAATGAGGCCTTGCTCAATTATAGGTGTCAGTGAAAGCCCAAAGGCTTGAGGAGCTGGCTATCAAACAGTCAAGACAGCTAATTCCAATGACACCTTCATTGCCTAAAGCTTCGGTATGCAAAAATTTTTCTCAAATATTTCTGGTTTTTATTCTGTTTCATTTTTCCCTGAGAATTTGAGTTCTTGTTATCATGGTTACATCCCTGCATTTTTTTATTTGTTCATATAGGTCTTTCCTATAAATTTTATGCATTGTTGTGGTACTTCTAATTTGCAAATTTTTATTATTTATTTATTTATTTTTGCTGGAGAGAGAGAGAGAGAGGTACCCCAGGATTTAGAATTAGTTTTCCTTGTTGGTATTCTCGCTTCATGAAAAGGTCGTTGTGAAGTAGTGCTTTGTTACGAGCTAATGTGTTCCCACTCTTATTCGGTACTGGTTGTGTAATTTTAATGTTGTCGCTACCTGATGTTCAGTGATAGCGTTTACTTCATTATTTTTTCTCATTACTTTGGGCTTATTCGGCTTGTACATTACCAATGTTTATTCTTAAGTCTTAACCTTCCATGTACAAGAATCATGCATGACAGGTTATTCTCACTTTAGTTGAAAACTTCGCTGCTTGAGTTTAATTAGTTCTTATATTGTCAAGGACAACTGTGGTAATTATGGGAATTACAAGTTGTTTATTAGTTATTTATTTATTATTCTTTCTTCTGATCTCTCTTGAATGAAGGGCTTCACATGATTTCTACCATGGAATAAATAAAATATTTTTCATCAAGTCCTATTCTTTTTGCTTCTACCAAGTATAGCATTTAATCGTTCCCCGCTTTTTAGAATTTTGCTGAAGCGGCAGAGTATTACTCACTCACAAGCATTATCAGATGTTTTTTGTTGTTGTGATTAACAATCAGGATTAGTTCTATCCCTCCTGCTTCATGCTTCTATCTTTCTTTATTACGTGTCAGGGTATCGAGACTTAGGCTGCTTTTAATTGTAATAAATCATGATCTTGATGACTTGCCAGTGCCAAGTGAAGCGCTAAATGAAATAAAATTTGATTTTTTTTTTCCCAGATGGTGGGCATTATGCTATTATCACCATCTTGTGCTTATTTACTGGTGTCGGAAGTGTTGCTTACAAATAGAGCCTAATGAAATTATGCTCTACATGTAGCTGATCCTCCTTAGTAGGATGAAGTTGTTGTTGTGCTAGTTTACTGGGACTTCGTTAAGAGGCTGGGCAGACCATTACTTCCACTAGAAGTACTATCACATCTATATTTGGTGCTAATTAATACCTGATGCCTGACTGATTGAATTTGGCTTCTCTTCTCTTAGAAGTTTATTGCATGCTTCTTATTAAGCATGCATTCAATTTGACTCTTGTGCCATAACTCCCATTCTCACCATCTCTGACAAGTGATGAGTGATAATTGGTTGTATTTGAATACTTGCTCTGGCTGCTGCATCGCTAGCATAACCACATGCTGATTAGTGTTCTAGCTAGAGTAATACATATTCTGGATTGCTCTGAATGGGATAAAGACATAAAAAATTATTACGACTGTTTATTGTTTGTGGGTGTTCCTAATATTATATAAGAGACATTTTTAGATATGGATTGTGCTTTGTTTTTCAAATAAATCACAGTTTCAAATTGATGGAAATTTGATCTCATGTAAAATTGAACGTGTTATTAAAATTTTATTTACACATCCTTTATTGCCAGTGATATTTATGATCGTTTTCTTTGTCAGGTTCTTAATTCTTCTGAGAAATTAAAGCCTAAAACATCAGCTAGAAATGCTGAAATGAATGTAGTCGCCAAGAGTGGGCCACAGCATCTCTCAGTGCACATCACTAATCAATCTCTTCGTAGTGTAAATGTTAAATCTGATACTCCAAAGACTTCAGGAAAGTTTACTGATCTCAAATCGGTGGTGTGGGAAAATGGTGGTTCCCCTACCTCCAAGGATGTTTCAAACCAAGCAAATTATTCTAACAGCAAGCCTGGAAATCAACTTGCTGTTACTTCAGCAGTTGCTTCTGGACTGGCAAGGAACCCCAACAATGTAAAATCTCCAACAGAGCGAAAGCCAGCTTCAGTGGACCCAAAATCAGGTTCTACTGTGGAAAAGAAACCTTCATTGTCTCAAGTGCAGAGCAGGAATGATTTCTTCAATCTTATTAAGAAGAAAACACTAATGAACTCTTCATCAGTTCTTCCTGATTCTGACGCCTTGGTTACTTCTCCCGTCATGGAAAAATCTGATGCAATAACTAGGGAAGTAGTTAGTCCTCCTGCTAACCCTGAAGCTAGTGGAAATGCTGCTGATGTCAATAATGGTGATGCCTGTGAAGATGCTCAGAGCCTTCCCGATAGTGAAAAGAATGATACAATTTCCAGTTCGACGATATATCCTGATGAGGAAGAGGCTGCTTTTCTACGTTCTCTTGGTTGGGAGGAGAATTCTGGTGAGGATGAGGGCCTCACAGAAGAGGAGATAAATGCCTTCTATCAGGAGGTGAGCATCTCATGCCCTACATTAATTTTCACCTTATCAAAATCATCATAAATAGGAGTAGTTGAGCTTTTATTATGCTTTTGGAAAATTGTGGGACTGACTTTAGAATTGAACCAAAATTACATACTTTGGGGGGTGTTTGATTGATGCAAAAGTCACTTTTTAAAAGTGCTTTCACGCGAGTCAAGTCAAAATTCCTCTCACATACTTACTTTTTGTGTCATAAAATCATTTTTGAAATCATAGTTTGGTTTTCATCCAAAATTTACAACATGATCAATGTTTTGGTTGTCTATTTATTTTGTCCAAGATTACATTGTAGAATTTTTTTAGTGACAATCAATCTGGACTGCTTTGCTTATTCTTTGTTGACTACTATTTTCCAGTGCATGAAATTGGGGCCTGCCACATTCAAGCTGAGAGGCATTCAGCCAAATCTGTCCAAGTTGTTGGATTCTTATGCAACCAACTTGCGTGGAGCTTCTGCTGAATTGAACACTTCTGAGTCCGGATCGCAAGCTTGATTTAATGTTTAATCTTGGATATATTCAAGTTTACATTTTTGGTGGCGGATGGAAACTTGTGTTCCTTTTGTTTTGAAAGAAGGCTGATGATTGGGCAAAGAGGAGGATGGGTTTCGATTAGAACCCTGCATTTTGCAAATATTGCAATAAGTTACAGGTGCCTTGATCCTGCCTGCTTAACGGGATATTTTTTGGCTTCCTTTTTTGGTTAAATGTTATAGGTTCGGTTGGCTAGGGGGCTAGGATAGGGGCTATTTTGTCTGCAAGGTGCGGGGGAAATTGCGTCTATTAGGGTGTTTTGATCCTTTTCTTTCAAGAGGGTTTGATTCTACGAGATAAAGTTGGAGTTTTGGTTAGTTTTATGGGGAAAAAATTGAAATTGAAGCTACTCTAAAGTTTATATCATGTTGATATTGGTTATTCTTCAAGATCTCCGCAATTTTTTGGGGTTTAATCCCTCTTCATTTTCTGTTTATGTGTTTCGCGTCCTATTGTCGTACAGTCACTCAAAAGTCTGATGAAATAAATTAGAGATGGATTAGAATTAGCCTCATCATTTTTCCCTGATTGTTTAAATTATCATATCCTCTTTCCTATGTTTTGGCAGAAAAAGTGTTCTTCCCCTATCGTTTAACATGCCGATTGTTATTCATGGTATTTGAATTTACTTGAGGACATTTTTTCCGAAAGAAAAATATTCTTGTATGAAAAATGATTACCGAAAGTGAACAATTCAATTTACAATATCGAATGAACACAAGAGATCATAATGTCTATCCTATACTCTTTTTGAGGCTTATTATAAGTTTTAAATAATTAATTTGATGCTTATTATAAGTTTTAAATAACTAATTTGTAGGTAATAAATAATTAGTTAAAATTAGTAAAAAACAATAAATAAGTTAAAAATGTTTTTGTTTTAAACATATCCTTACAATAAATGAGGAAAGGAGAGAGAATAAATAATTAAAAATAAAATTCAAAAAAAAGAAAATTACACACGTCTCACAAAAAATTAATTCTGAAAAAGTTTTTGAAAATCCTCAAATGCTTCCTAAGTCCCAGGAAAACTATCTACTTACACTCATTGATTGAAAATGTTGTGATTAGCTGCTGTATAAGTTATGACTATATATTGTGCATATTGTCATTCAGTTGAGTGTGAGTTGTTATTGGCTTCTGTGCATATTGTGAATAGCTCAAATATAGATTGCAATTATATGCTATGCATGTTGTCATTCAATAAAAACAAATAAGTAATTTCACAATTATAATTTTTTACTCTGAGATCTCTAGGGATTTAGAAAGCATTTGGAGATTTTTAAGAACTTTTTTAGAATTAATTATCTTCTGTAGAACCTATGTATAATTTTCTCTTAAAAAAATGAATTAAATGTTAAAATAAACATTAAATTAAAACTTACAAAATGAACTATATCTCTTCCAACTTTAAGGTTTATAAATAAGATCAGAAGGAATAATTAGAGTCTGCTTCAATTCTGAGCTTTTCCCCATCGAGGTTAAGCAAAACTTGTGGCAAAATAAATAAATAAAATTTTATTTCTTTTTTTGCGTTCTAACTTGAGGGAAAATCATAAGCTCCCTTGCTCAAACTGAAATAAGTTGTGTACACAAGCAAGGTTAACATTTTTCCAGTTTACATGCACACAATGACAGGCTGACTGCTGTAAACCATGCCTGCCCATGGTTAAATTTTTCTTCCTAGCAGTCATAGAACGGTATAAATCCTATAGTAACGGAAGAACGACACAAGAAGGGTGTTATTAGTAAGGAATCGAGATTTATCAACGCTTCCCCCCCCCCCCCCCAGGTTCACTAATAGAATTTTAGTAAACTGGAGTGGAGGCAAGGTGTTATCAAAGTAATCATCAAGGCGCAGTACAATTAAACTCAACCTAATACAATTCTAAAACAGGTTATTTGTATTCCAACTGACAGAAGATCTACCCATAATTTGATTGAAATGAAGGATAAAATTTAAAACTCGAGCGTGCCCCGAGTTCGATTGATGGGAATTGGTCGAATCTTTCATTAACATGCATAACGAGCAAAATGAACACACTCCAATGCAGCCAAGAGTCAAGAGTCAAGACTATGCACAATTTATATGTACAGATCCACGAGAGCCCGTATCCCCGTCCATTGCAAGGATAATGATGAAGCCTCCAAGTAACACCTCAGTTCCCCTCATTCGGGATGAGAAGTCCAATAAACCAGCCCACTGCACCCAAAGTTCAAGCAGCAGGTTAACAGTCAAGGGCAGGGGCCTCGATAGTTTTTAAATAGGTTGTGTTCTCAACAATTTTATTAGGAAAAATTACCATGAATCCCACATAAGATATTTAATCACTAAAAAATTCCACAAATGTGCATGCAATGACTAGTTTCAGTGCGGAAAATGACAAGTCTATGCTACTCATTTGTTGTAAACTTTTTAATGATTAAATTACTTCCTTTTGAACAAAATGATTAAGTTACTTAAAAGAAAAAATCTGTTAGAAACAAACATCTAACTTCAGTCGACCATTAAATGGTTTTGATGATCACAAAAAATTTTGAAGTTATTTCAATCTGAACTGATTATAGCTAATCAGAATATCTACTTTGGGTGGAGTATTAGAAGAATCTGAGATTGACGAAGAGACTGAGCTTGGAAGGAAAGCATAGAAGGACACAGCTCGTCACATAACGAAAAAGGACATTTATTTGATCATTGCTTATTCGGTACTATGCAAAATGGAAAGAAGTTGAAGGAGATCAAGCTTCCCATGGTTAGATTAAAGGAATAAAGGAAGCATGAACCTGAAGAAGAATACAAGAACGCTCAAAGAAATACATTATCCGATAAACTTTCTATTCTAAGAATTTGTGAGTTTATTGTATTCGCTGTCTACTAAACTGAAGAGCTTATTGTCTGTCGTTTTACAAATTCAAGAAATTTGTCCGTCATTAATTTCTAAACAAAAGAGAGAAAGACATGATGGTCATTTTCCCAATTTCTTATATCCAAGGAGCAAAACAGAGCCGCTATAAGTAGAGCGCAAAAGAACTTATAGCTTATATAAAGAAGAAAATTTCTGAAATTCACAAGGAGCTTGCACACAAGACACAGCATTCAGGATTTGATCTGAATGCATGGGGTGCACTGTATAGAGCGAATCAGGAATGATGGGTGAACATGCACGCAAGAATTTCTTTGTGGCAGCAACAATGAATAAAATATTATTTTAAACCAATAATGAAATGCTTTAAACACCACTTACCTGATTAAGACAAACACACACTGCAAAACACCTGCAGCTCCCGTCCACACAGAAGGGGCAGATTTATCAACTGAATCTTGTATGAGCAGACCAACTGACGCAGCTAAAGAAACAAAAGACACAACATATGCCAAGAAGAGCCACAGCTTCAGCCTGTTAACAAGAAGCAATTAAAACGAATCCTCATGATAACCAAAGTGTAACGTTGTTGTTCTTTCGTCATTTTTGGGCTACACAACCAAGAACAGAATATGCAATTAAGGCAAGCTCATCATATAGTGATTACTAACATTGAACACATGCTGATAAAAACAAGTTCAAATATGCATAATCTCCGTTGAAAGAATCATTATCAGCCCCAGATACTGTTGCATATACGAGCTAAGCTTAATTAGTCCTAGCTCAGATCCTATTTTGTCCCACAAAGCAATATAGAGAGAAAGAAATCAACTGAGCAAATTTGATCAACAACTACCAGTCAAATAGACATAGTCAGTTAAATAATAGCAGGTCACTTCCTGAAATAATGGAAATAAAATATTCTAAGATTCTCACATGACATGCTCTGGTTGAGAGGATATAAGAGGCAACACGCAGCTATATCATATATATAACTTCACTTTTTCCCTTGTATTTCAGAATCATACACCTATTAATTAGAGCGTAGTAAGAGTTCACAATCACAATGGTCTAAAACCTAACAAATTATCCACCAACCATTAAGCGCTAGATGATTCCATGTTTGTATATCCAACAATGATTTCTTATCTCGCAGAAACTATATCTTAAACAACGACAATATGCTATAAGCCCTAAAAACGTAGTTACACTAAATTACCAATAAGCAGCAACTATCAAACAGGAACTCTTTTCTTTTCCGTTAATCTTCTATGGATAGGATTTAAACTTGAATATTTAGCCTGGAAGATGATTCAACGAGTACTAAGCCAAACTAACTGGTAGCGAACAGGAACTTCACAAGTGAAAGGCCCAAAACTTAAGAGCTAATTGCAGCTGCTCCATGTATAAGGTAGAATATGGACTTTAAAAAGCAGATAAAGAAATTTCTTGTCTCTAGTGAGAGTTGATTCTATCAATTTATTCACAAGCTCATAACTTACTGTTTATTAAATCACTGTCAGCTAGAGTAACAGAAGATTAATGGTAAGACACTGTTTCACATAATTCCTCAAACCAGGTCAATTATCTGCCTGCAAGGCCTGGGTTAGTATAACATGATTATAACTTCATATATTCCCAGCTAAGATACAACGAGAATTAGTGTTTTTGGAGCAATACACACAGCATTTAACTTTGAGTGAAAGGTAAGCTGATGTAGGTAGAAGGTAAGAAGAGGGAAGAAGAGAGAAGGAGAGAGGGATAGGGGACCAAGAGAGAAACAGAGAGAACTAGAAGGATTCAGAAATGATTAATCTGTCAATCAGCAACAACATAACATATTCAGAGTCCTAGGTCCCGGATAATACTAAGCCTAACGGTCATTACACACATATCTGAATATAACGGAGAGAACTAGAAGGATTCGGAATTTATTAGGCTGCCAATAAGCAACAACTTAACACATTCAGAGTCCTAGGTCCCTTATCTATACCACTTTAAGCCTCCCAGTCATTACACGCACATCGTAACTAACAAAAAATATCCCTACTTATACTTACATAATATAAGCCTACAGTAAATAATCCAGTAAATTTTTTAAAAACCAAAAGTGTCGCTCTTGTAAATTATTTGCTTTCATGCCTACATAAACAGAAAATTAGCTCATAGTTCTACCAAAATTATCAACTTGCATACCTATAAATCAAAGGTCAAAAGTTCAACAAGTATTAATTACTAATCTAATCATAGCCTCCCTATAATTCTCAGCCTATGGGTCAGGAAACTATTGATTAACCACAAATTAAATTAATGAGTGCTTGAAATAGATAGATGACAAGGTCATGTCATTTTCCTACTTCCAAGCATCCGACTGATGAATTAAATTATTTGACATGGGATGGTTGCACTCGTTCGTATTGATCTTGCGTTTTCACTTTTCTTTCTTTGTGGTTCCCCCCCCCCCCCTCTGCTTTGTTTCAAGGAGGATATATTATCCCCCTTCTCTTTGCAATCTTTCTTGCCTGCAACGAAACCTTTCATATTATTATTATAAAAATATTTAAAAAGTATTTAAAAATACACACAACCCAGCACTAACTACTGAAAACCTTGCAATGTCTAACTTTTGTGCTCGTCAAAAGTTAAGATGGAGATGCACATGACATTAACAGTGAGGCGTAGACATCATCAATAAAGAATGCGAAATTGTTCATTTAACTATCACTTCACTAATTAAGAATCTAATTATCTACAAGCCCAGAAATCCGCCATATCCAAGAGATCTTTAAAAAGGCCTCAGGACACTCCAAATAGATTGGTTACCATAGTTTTGCGAACAGGTCGAAGTAAGCAAAGAAAAAAAACCCACCAAACAGCAGATATATTATGAATAAGAGCACTCTAGCCATTTAGAAGGGGCAGAAACGCAGTGATGATAAAATCAACTAGGGTTAAGAGTCCCTCCTCATTAATTGAACTAATACGAGGGCTTGAACTACGATACAGGACAACTAATCAGTCGGAGCAGATCACATGACCATCCTAAAAAAACACATACCTCCACTCTCCTTCGTCATAGGGAGAGTAATCAATGTCTTCTTTCCTAACGCAGTTGAACATCAGGGCCGCCAAAGACGCAAAAATTCCTTTGGACCATAAACCATAATCAGACGCATACTTGAAACCCTAAATCCCCAGAGGGGGAACACTAAAAACATTAAAAAAAAAAAAAAAACAGGAGAGGGGGGACGAACCAGGAAGGTAGTGCAGGAAAGAAACCTTAACGGAGCTGCAAACCACGGCGTCAACCCAGATCCACCAGCCGGCGCCGAAGACGGCCCCCGCGACGCCCGGCCCAAAGATCGCCCATAACTCCGCTACGTCCATGATGAAGATGTTGCTGTATTCACTTGATTTAATACTCTGACCAATTCACCAATGAGCGTACATAGCTGAAGCCCTGAAGCAGTAACGTATCTCCCAGCAGCTCGAGTCCCGCGAATGACTCTCTTCCCTCCTGAACCCGGCTACACCACTATTCTACTTTACATGTGGAGATGATTTTAATGATATTAATATAAATTTTTTGTTGCTGCAATAATATTGATGAGTAGTTCTTGAAATATTTGTTCTTGTCAATTTTGAGAATCTCAAAGCTAATTAGCTTTAAATGAAAAAAACAATTTGTAAGAATTAAAATATTTGACATTCTTAGATTATTGTTCAACTTTCTTTTCGCGCTTCCTTTTTTTTTAATATAAAGGAAAAATTGTAATAAAGTTTCACCTAAAAGAATTAACTACAAGAAAGTCTTTTAAAATTATTAAATTATTCTGAAATCTCAAGCAAAGCATTTTATTTGTTTAATTATCAAATTATTCTTTTTTAAAAAAAAATTTTGCATTAATAACTGACAAAGTAATTGTTAACAATTTAAAATGTAACGATTAACAACTATTGCGGCAGGCATTGACAATACATTCTCTCAGCGCATGACAAAAATATAATGTATGAGTTATCAATGATTACCGTGATAATTATTAATCCTTACATTTTAAGTTATTAACGATTACTTTAAAAAAAATAAAGACAATTTGATAACTAAACAAATAGAATCTCCTGTAACGAGATCTCTTAGAACTTTAGAATAATTTGATTATTTTAATGAACTTGTTTTGTATTTAATTTTTTTAGGTGGGACCTGATTACAAATTTTTCCTAACAAACTGTGCAACTAACTGGGGAAGGAAGAATCTTTGACCAAAAAAAAAAAAACTGGAGAAGGAAGAATAGAGAACACAAAGACAATTAATAATCCTATCCTTCACCAACCTCGACCTGCTAATCAAGCGAGGGAAAGAGCAAAAAATTTCCTTCTATAGAGAATTTTGCTAGCCTATCAGCCGAGGCGCTTCTTCAAAATGCAAGAAACTTCGAAAAGAATTGAACGGGCGAGGCGTGCATAATTATTTAGCAGGAAAGGTGGCGGCTGCAGCAACATTCGTGATCATAAACGGAAAGCCAGGTCTTATGGGGAGGTTCAGTGGGTCTCATTGACTCAAGTTATTTATCAATGGCCTATAAGCCGATTTGATTGATTTCGCTAGATGGCTATCTTCACCTTTATAACATACTCTTCTAATTCTATTTATGAGTTATTTTCAACATATTTTATATAAATTAAAAAAACTAAAATTTATAAACTCTCATTTAAAATTTAATAATTTTTCAATTTTTGTATTATTTAATATACATTATACTTTACGTAAATAAAATCAACGCAATAATAAATGGAGGGTAAAATTATATATCTATACAAAAAATTTCTCAATGCCTTATAAATAAGACAAAAAAATACCTTGTCTCTCTGCCCTATAAATAGGATCAGAAGAATAATTTATTTAGGAGTATTTGAATTAACTTTTTTAAAATAATTTTTTAATATACAAAATAATAATATAAAACAAAATCTTGTCTTAACTCACATAAAAATATATTTTTTTCAAATAGTTGTAAGGTTTGCCAAACTCTCCACAAGTATATTTTCATTGAGTATGGCCTCAAGCCTATTCAGGTATACATGTTTAAAAATATATAGCATAAAATATATTTATATAAACTTATAAAGAAAATTATTCCTTTTAAAAAAATATTATTCATCTAATTCAAATTATATTATTAATCAGTACTCCTCTGGTCCTATTTATAAATAATTTTCAGTATGTTTCAAACAGACCAAGAAAAACTTAAATTTTATTAATTCTCATTTAAAATTCAACAACTCTCTAATTTTATTTCTATTTAATATACATTATATCTCATTTAAACAAAACCAACACAATAATAAATGAAAGATAAAATTGTATATCTATGCAAAAAATATCTCTCAATGTCATATAAATAGGACCAAAAAATATTTTCATTTTGTATCTCATAAATAGGACTAGAGAAGTACTTATTAATTACTTCTTTTGGTTTTTATTATGAGCTTTGAAAACCAATTTATAGATATCAAACAATTAGTTAAACATAATAAATAGATTAGAAGTAAATTTTTATTTTTAAATATACTCTTATAATAAATAAGAAAACGATGACAGAGAATGTCATAGGAAAGAAATAATTAAGAACAATGTTGAAAAATATGCATTAAATGATAAGATAAACCCAAATTGAAGCTTATAACACACACCGCAACTCTTTAAATTTGAAGCTTATAAATAAGACTGAAGAGAATACTAACTAATATTATTAGTTACTCTTCTTGCCCTATTTACAAGCTATTTTTAACATGTTTCACATACTAATAAAAATATTAAAATTTAACAGTTTTTTAACTTTATTCTTACTTAATATATACTATACCGCATGAGAATAAAGTTAATACCATTTTATAAAAAAATACAACACGATAATATACTGAGTATAAATTATACATTATTTATGACCCTTGTCGTAGTGAATCATATTTCTCCTGTTAGAGGCAACCTTAACACATCTCCAAGTTTGTTGATGTTGATTGGTCATATTATGAGTAACTATCCTCCTCTATGCAATGTTAAAAGTAAGTTAAGTTGCAGATGTGTAAGCTTATGGGTCTAACCAATAAAAAACTTATTTGAGATAGCGTTTAAAAGTATTTATAAACACTTTTTTTCATATCCCGTAAATTACATGCCCGAAGCGTCCCCAACCCCATGTTCACTGTATTTTTTTTTTCCCTGCCCGTTCAGGTTTTTTGGCGCCTGAAACAGTTGTGGCGGCTGGGGCTCGATCTGGATCATGGGATCGCTGGAGACGCCGACAAGTACAGGGAATGTTCCTGCCCCATCAACGGGCATCGGGAAAACTTCTGCTGTCGATTGGGGCCTGTTAAAATTGCGTCGGAGAAGCCGCTGGATTCTGATACTCCGGAGAAAAGGGGAGCTTCTTTGCTTTCCTTCGAGGTTGGCACTCCGTGAAAGTCATCGAGCACTATAAGGTGAGTAGCGGAGGTACCAATGATTATGAATATTACGTCCACTATGACGAGTGTCTGACCTCATTTCGTCATTTCCCCATTATCGCCATGCCATTTTTTGAAAGCGGGCAGGAATACTAACTAGTGGTAGCAATGTTGTAGTCTCATACGCGTATTTTGTTCTTTCTGGGAGTCAATCGGAGGCTTGATGAGTGGTTGAATCTTGAACTACTAGAACTCGATTTGGCGGAGGCTGTCGTTGATGAGAAATTGGAGAACAACGCAATGACTTTATGTTGTCCAAATTGTTTTTAGCATTGGTTTATGCCTGGGAAGCTTTTGTGGAGAAGCGGATTTGCAGGTTTCATGGAAACGATCAAGGATATCTTAAAAAAAATCATTTTGCTCTCGTTAGTTTATCTGAAGCGGTAGGGTTTATGTAATTTCCTATCGACTGGGCTTTGCTTCTGTCTGGAAAATTAAATAGAAGAGAGAAAGTTAATTGTAAGAGGTAAAAAGTGCTTATGTCTGTCAATAATTATCAGTCACTATTTTTCTTCTCTTGTCCTTTCATTTTCTAAACAAAGAGGTACTCTTGTTGTATTTTGTATGTGGCTTGAAGATGACACGCCACCAAAAGAGGAAGATTGATGAGACACACGTGGATGTATTCAACATGCGTATTTTTTGACCAGAATCAAGAAATATGCAAACTCGAAATAATGCCTTCTAGGCTTGAAGATTTGTGATATTTCTATTTGCACAGTTAAAGAGAGTGGGCGAGGTATTTGAATTTCAAATCATTGGTACGAAAATTGGGAGAGTGATTGGATTCGAGATCGCTGGAATTGTTTAACTGTTTTGTTACTATATGTCTATATGGTGTTTAATATTTGTGTGGGAAGGAGTGAATGGGGGATTAAATGCATCACAAAGCCACATGAAATACATAATGTTGATGGGTGCTATATAATCTTGTGATAGCTAGTTAGAGAGACAAAGTAATGCTTTTTATATGCAGGTCTGACTACTATTGAACGTGGAAGCAGACCATGTGTATGAATTTGTGTCATTTGCTACATACAGGGCTATGAGGAGCTTGACGCTACCAGCTTACGAGACACTAGGAACTCACAAAAGTGAAGAATATCACTATTACTGAACTAGGACAATATGAGATTGAGACATGGTACTTCTTTCCCTTCCCACAAGGATGCAACAACTTTTTAATTCGAGGCTGTACTCTTGTGAACATTCAATTGGCCTTCATAGCTGTAGCAAATGAAGTTCTTATTTTGCTTTATTGGAATTGAAGAATTTATTATTTTAAATTGCCCCTTTCTTTCTCGAAAAACTTGTCAGTATCTTCATTGGCCTATTCCACCTCTTCTTTTAACACCTCTTTTTAATTTTCAGAGGAAATGTGATCTCAAGCATCCTCCTGGAGGTGAGATATACAGAAGCGATACATTGTCAATGTTTGAGGTGCAATTTTCTCATTGTTCTGATCTTTATTATTTATGAGCTTCTTGTGTTTAGTATCAAACCTCTTCTATAGTTTAAGCCTGGGGTCGCGTAAAATGCGGATTCCTCCATTCATTTAATTGTCTTAATTAACTGCGAACCTCCACTTTGAAGGAGCCAAGTCTATTGCTGTCAAACATCAGTTCTGTGATGGGAAGCATGAATGTCACTCTAAACTTAAATATTTGCAATCTTCTCTATTATCTTGTGTCCTCTTTTTTGTTTGTTTTGTCTTTTTAATTTTGTGAATTTATGAATAATTTTATTAATACGAATTTCTTTTGGTTTTAAAGGAAAAGCATTCAGAAGAAGGGTGAGTCGTCGCGCAGGTTGATGGTGCCTTTGCCCATTCGAGCCATACAGCTGGCCGCGGTGGTCTATTAGTGAACCACATGGGTAATGTTCTAGAAGCTTTTGCTCTACACATTGGAGCCGGAGATGCTCTCTTTGCTGAGTTATGGGGGTGCCTTTTGGGCTTGCCAGGAGCTTGGGATAGTGGGTGTAGAAAAGTCGTCTTGAGAAGTGATTGCTCTAAAGCCATTGACCTAATTAGAGATGGTGCAACTGATATGTATGTGGACTGGCGACTGGTTTTAGAAATCCTTAAAAAACATAGAAGATTTGCTTCTATTTACTCTTGTGTTGAGAACGCGAAAATACAATCGTTGAAAAAGCCCAATTTGTTCAAGCCCTTTAAGCTTGCCACTTGTAATCCAAAAAGAAAAGGCCCAATTTGGATTAAGGTGACTGTGTCTTGCATTGGTTCCGTATGAGAATATTATTAGGTTTGGAAGGCAACGGAAGGTTAAATAATGAATTTCTGTGTCTCATTCAAATGTCTTGAACACCTGTATATAACATAAGAGTATTCATTAAAAGTGTACTAAGGCTATAAATAAATTTCCCGACCTGAAAACTCTCAAAAGGGGGCGACTCAGAAATACGAAGGCTGGAAGATTTTAAACGACTGACTGAAAATCTTTTATTTGGTCAATTGTATTTTAGCGTTCCTATTTGTTTTCTCGGTCAGAGAGCTGTTTTGCTGTTGTGTCGTTCCTAACAAGAGGGTTACTGGGTATAGCGTGTTAGAGCTTTTTAATGACACTAATGATGAGGATATAGACTTAGTGGGTAATTGATTGCGTTGTCTTTTTTGTTCGTTATCGTTAATCAATAAATCTCGGCGTAGTGGTGTTCCATCTCTTTGATAATTATTAAGGCTATGCCACTGATGCAGGAGCCGAGTGACATGACAGCCATTAAAGCTGAACATATACTGAGCGCCAAGAAAAATGGTCGAAGTCACCCAGCATGAAATCTCACATTGGTATCTGCATTGTAATAGGGTAGTTTTCCTTATGATCTATAGTGTCTGCTATATTGTACATAACCTACGGTTCCAAGAATAACCCCTTCATGATTCTTGAGATTGGATGGTTGCACGCTGTACTCTTCCCGAATGATACCAATTAATGTTGAACGTAGTCTAGACTTGGGAGGAGTTTCGGTTGAGGGGAAGTTCGTTCCCCCTTTCTCTCGAATGGGAATTTGTAAAACCTCAAGCCCCTTAACGTTGTGCCCTTTGTATCTTCTCCTAATTTTAGCATTCTCTACCCTTTTTTCCGTCCGTCACGAACCACTGAACTTGCAGAGGACAGTATCGGGCAAATAATATTCTTTATTCCGGCTTACACTAAGTTTTAAGGAGAGCATTTTTTAGTCCTTTTTCTGCAATGACTTGGAGCTCTTTCGCGACTTTCGCATCCTTTAATATTTGTTTAAACCTGTAACGTGAGCCTCTGGTTTGGGAAAGAAAAAACAACAAAAGAAAAACCTATATAATGTGAACTGTTGCTCGGGAGATCAAACTTACTATGAAATCTAATTCCCGATTGTTTGCGCATATGCGGGTTCTGCAGCCGTTATTAAAGACCAGCTTGTTCATGGCTCACCTTTGGTCGTTTCATAAAAACTGACCTTTCCATAGCCTGTATTGCTGACTTATGCACCAGTCTCGGTATTCCTCATCTTCCCTCATTAATGGACCTCACATGATTTTGCCAGTAGGAATCAGAACCTCACTTTCTCCATGTGAAAATGCCGACTTCATAGTTTCTTCGAATAGATCATAGATCCTGGCGCCACCCCACCACCCAAAAAAGGAAAAATGGGAATGATAGATCATAGATCTATAACTAAATATTGCTTCTAATTTGGACTATTTTCTCACTATTGTGGCGTCTTTTAAGAAACGCTGATCCTTCCCATGCCTAATTGTTTCTATGATTTTAAGCCAAGAGTAATTGAGTTTTCTGATTACCTCTGTTCCTGGAACCCAACAGTATGGATCCCCACCATCTTATGTACTCCAGAAAATCAAACAATACGTGATCATTTACATTATGTTATATGAAAAATCCAAATAAGAAAGAGGGGAAGAAAGGGCTTTCATCATCTATCTTACCCTTTCACTTCGAGTGCAGAGATTTTGTGATCAAACACTAGTAGGCTGAAGATGATGCCTTGGATGATGAATCTGTTGAAGCTGCAGACTTTTCAATGCAACGCCACCAGACCTCCTTTTCCAAAGACTATCAGCCTGGCTTTCTTCTTCAGACTTCCTCTGCACCCTCTTGATCACCGGCAAGGGCGGATCCATATTCTCAATGCTCAAAGCTACAGAAGCTTCATTATCGTTCCTGAACCCATCAGTATTACTCATTCGAACCCTTCTTCCACAGGTAGTAGAAACAGTAGCAACGGTGGCCGGATTGGCGCTCAAGCTTTTTCCGGAGAAGAGCCTTTTAAGCTTGGAGTACTTGCCAAAAGCGGGAGGGGAGATGGATGTGGTGAGTCTATGAGAAGTAGGGAAGCCAACTATCTTGTTGTTCCTCTTCACCTGGCCCATGCAGCCGATCCTAGGGGACAAAGGGTCGTCGGAGACAGACGCCGGCGGGTCCTTCCACCTTGGAAGGCTCACATCTTTGATTGACGGCCTTGAACAGAGCATCGGCAGGAATGTGGTTCTTTCCTGGACATGGAGCCTCTGATGCTGAAACCGATGGTGATTGTGGCGATGGTTTTCATTGCTCATGTTTTTCTGAGCTGACCCAATTTCAGTTATGAAACAGAGAAAAGCTGGGAGAGAGGGAGAAGGACGAAGCTGGTTCGGAGAGGGAAGAGTGAGACGCCAAATGGAAAACGGGATTGGAGTTTGAGGGTCGTTGATTGTGGAAACCGATGCGTACTTACTGCGATCCTTTACTTAATCCCGGAAAAGCTGAGGACAGGGGAAAGGTCGGCATGATTAAACGTAATTATACTACCTCCGGTACTTAATATAAGACCCTCTTTGACTTTTTGTTTGGTCCTAATTATAAGACCCCAATCCATTTTGTGTCTCATATTTATGCATTTTTTTCAAGATAGTCCTTCTAATAATAATAGTTCTAGCCAATACATTTAATTAGCAAGGATATTTTAGGAATGACAACACTTATTTATTACAAATAACTAACTTAACTTACTTTCTTAATCTCCTCAAATAAGTCAACTGGGTCTTATAATTAGGACCGGAGGTAGTAATATCTTTCGCATAATGCCAACAATAGTTAATATCCATTCTATTAATGTATTTAACAGTTTAGAATGAATAACCAGTCATAATAATGTATAATTATCAACGCAGAACAAACATTATCAGATGAAACAAATAATTGAACAAAAAACAGTTTATATTGCCGGACAAGGAGACTGTTGTCTTTGTAATTAAACTGACATATGGTCAACACAAAAATTTAATGGGAGGAAAGGACTAATGAGACAAGCTTAAGCGTCTGTATTGAGATCTAGATCTCAAGCAAGAACACACACGCTCTTGGGCTCTAAAAAAATCACTGGCTGACCAATCCCTTTGTCTCCCCTTAATTTCCCACTTTGGTGAACGCTACTTCTTTATTTAATTATTTTTTTCCTCCTTAGTCTTAGTTGACCGAAGAACGATCCATACAATACTCATTCGCTGTGTTGCGTGCTATCATAGCAGGGGTCGTGAAGATCTGTTGAGGATAAGATCAAAGGGTCAAAAGAGAAGAAGGGCAGCACAAATTAGAGAGGGAAGCCACGTTCACTGGAAGGTTATTATGATGGCTTATACTTTCTCAAGTAAACTGATATCATGATTCATTAAGTAAGCTCACTTTACTCTGTTTGTCTTTTTTTGAATATCCCTATTTCCTCTTTACTTTGTTTTCCTTTTCTTTTTACATTTTCTTTAATTCGTGTTGGCATCACCATTACGCCATTTCTAGTCTCACAGTGTCACGCAATGAGATCATATTTTGATTGGAAAAAAAAAAATCTCATGCTTTAACTTTTTCCCGCAAGTGAAGACTTTGGTTAAAAGTCCAAATTACCCCGCTTAATAGAAAACTAGATATCGCTTTTCCGTAGGGATCATATTAATAGAGGCAGCAAATCCAGCACAAGTATATATGGAAATAAAACAATTTATGTGGTTATATTAAAGTGGCCCGCTTTATTTTTCAACGCTTGGATGAAATTTAATGGATGTATACAGCTGAAATTAAATTTTCAGTACGGTGACGGATCTGGTGAGGTGGATCCGTTTTGCTCTCACAAATTCAAACCAATTTTTTTTTTTTCAAACCAAGTTATTTTAAAAATTTAGATAATCGAATGCCCACACGCAAATATGAATATTCGTTGCGGTACAATTTTGAAATTCGGCAGGATAAAGCATTATTTTAATTATTGTACAAAAAAAATACATTTTAATTAGGACAAGACCTAAGTAAACTTCCTTATGACCACTAGGGTACACTTTGTCACTAGACTTCTTGCCAAACCACCATTAGGTCTTTAAAATTTATGAAAATATTTTAAAAGATCCATTATTACAGCTCAACTTTTCTTCTGAAATATTAAGAAAATATTTGAAGGATATAAAAAAAAAAAAAATCTACCAACCACATTTGAATTTGATATACATATATTATATTGCCCTCCAAGCCTATTGTCCATATTGTTCTATATTTCAACCTTCTCATTATTATTTCGACAGGAACAAATATATATGCAACATGTCAACTTTGATTTGTTCACAGTTAGAAGTCGGTTTATCTTTGAATAAGTCACTAGTCGGTTGTTGCCAAAGTAAATCATAGACTGTACGCAGAAAATCTTCATGGAAGCGCACTCTCCATTTTTTTTTTTCGGTAATCAATAGACATATTTGATCCCTCAAGCTAACTATTAATATTTATTTTTTAAATAATAAAACTTCAGTTGGCGTAAATTTATACACGAATCTTATTTATAGCTTAAATGAGAGAGATTAAAATAAAACTAAAGTAGGTGTCTTGTATTCTTGCAGAGCTTGCAATAAGCTATATTATTCACAAATTTCTAATAATAATTTTTTTCCAAACAATTTTCTAATAACAAACCCCTGCCGCCAATAACAGGGTAGGAGTCTCGAATAATCTGGTGAAAATAAAATGTGAATTTTTTTTTTTTGGTGGCAACAAAATGTGAAATTTACACATCAATGAATGTTCATGTGTATTGGCAAAGCACACTGCCGGCGGCCGACACGCCGCGACTGTGTTCACGTGAGAGGCACGTGATTGAAGTGTTTTAGGCTCTTAATTAATTCTCAATTTTCCTAGTTAAGATGAATAAGTTTAATTTCTAAAGTATGGTTAAAGAACAGACTCAAACTGAATTAAGAAAACAGGCAGAGGCTAGAGAGCAGAACTTGATTGAAAGAATTAAATTCCAGTGTTAGAAGCAGGGCTTCCCCACTCCAACCACTTCGTTAATTATCTCTATTTTTTTGTTTTTTGTTTTTTTCCCTCGTATCAGGTTCCTCCTTCTTCCCTCTATACGGGGCTTCCTTTAATCATAGTCGAATGACTTTAAAAAGAAGCAAGAGAATTTCGCTTCTGGAATCAACTTTTTCCCAACATCCACATGCAGTTGGTCATCATTCTAAAATTATAATTTGGCTCCTGTAACCATCTATTTGAAGGCATGAGATTAGGAAGGCCTAACCTTTAGGGGATTATAACCTAGAATAAAGGGGAAAACAACAGAACAGAGGATTTCCTGTGGCAAATTTATGTAAAGGAGGCATGTCCAAGGGAAAAGTGCCCATAAAGATGACCAACAATAATTGATGAAGCAAAATAAACAAAGTAAAATAGGCATAGATCTGGTTAGCCAGCCACCTAAAAACATAGCTATCACCAAAGATTGTCTTCAAACAGCAGGACATGCCTGTCTGTGAGCTATCTCTCTGAGTTGAACGTTTTTAGGATTATTTAACTGTGTTCTAAAGATATCTCCTTCATCGCGTGGGCTTAAGAATAGACTTAACTGAGAGACTCCATATTACAGCCTAGCTTATATTGACGAGTCAAATATTCAATTGGCCCAGATCCTAGAAGTCACAGCCAAGCAAGGCACCATTGATTCAAATTTTTTATGCAAGCATGGTGGATACTAGTGAATTTATGTGGTTCAAAAAATTGGACGGGGAGGCAGCATTACCAGTATGATTCTTGCATTATTTAGTGAATAAGACCTATCAGAAGAATACAAAAGCGAATAGACAAGGGAGCGGTGCTATCCACCGTTGTCAAAAAAGCATAAGATAATTTCTTGATATGATATGTGCGTGATTTAACATATCTATCCCAATCAAGCTCTTCTTGAGTTTGAATGTGTGGAAGAAACAACTCTTGAGCATATCTATTTCCACCTAATTATATGCACTTCCTCCTTCACGCATTGTTTCATATGTTGGTTGAATCTGATTTGTGAAATGTGAACTGTACGTACTTCAGCTCCAATGGTCATGATGCATTTTAAACACAAGCAAATGAAACAAGTTGCTAAATCCAGGGTTATTCCTGCTAACCGAACAACACAGCTACATAAATTCACAAAATTAATGTAGCGTTTGTTCTTTTCAAAATAGTTAGTAAAGGTGTTCTGAGAGAAAAAGGAAAAGGACGAGAGAATTGTTCTGAGAGAGAGAGAATGATCCGACATTAACGATAGCAGCAGGTACAATACCCAATATTGGAACCAAAAAGGGAGAAAAAAAGGTACGATACCTGTAGGGTCACGACTAACCAGTTAGATAATTTACGAGGCTTAGTTATGTTAAGACCGCTTTGTTACCCTATCAAGCTTCACAATTAGGTAAGACTAAGCATGTTTTCAATAACCGCACCAGAAACTTGATTGACTTTTAATCGTGTAATACTACCTCCGATCCTTAATATAAGATCTTGTTTGACTTTTATTTTGGCTCTAAATATAAAATCTCAATCTATTTTGTCTATCATATTTATACATTTTTTTTTCAAATTAGTCATTGTAACAATAGTAGTTCTAACCAATACACTTGATTAGCAAGGATATTTTTAAAAAGGAAACATCTATTTATTACAAATAACTAACTTAACTTTTTTTTTAATCTCCTCAAATTAGTCAATTAACTCTTATAATTAGAAGTATATATAGTCAATCGCAGTAACAAAATCTTTTCAGGGTGTCTCAGGTGTCAAATCCAATGGGATATCTAATTACGATTTAATTAACCTTACTTGGTGCAACACTTGCTAGGAAAATTGATTTCATGCCGTGTGAAGAGATTAGGCTCTACAAGCATATTAAGTGTTTGAGCGAGCTTACGACTAATACCAGATGTGCTCGTAAGGCACTGATTTCTCAACAATACATGAAACTGACACAGGCTACCCTGTGGCCCGGCGTCGGTTGTGATTCTTTCCCTACCTCTTAATTCATAGCCAGCGTAGGTTGAAGCTCTGGTAGCATCATGAGCTCCTCTTGTAGTTTAAACGCAGTGTGTTTCAGCCCCATGGATGAACAAGAAACTGTCAAATAATTATTTGAAAGTCCAATTCAACCACCATTAATACAAATTTGGAGTTTAAACATGGTTAATTTATAAATAATAGACATATCAATAATTTCCCGTCATCCATTCCATTGGAAACTAATGAGGGAAATTATTCATTCCACTATAATCTGCCTCGGATTAGAAGTTAGCAACGTTCATTGTAGTACCGCAAAAGAACAAGTCAGGATTCTTGCGTCCGCATAAAATGCTTATACATTGATTAACGAAATTATTTTACGTGTTTAGTGTTTACAACCATTCTCCCCATCTATTGCAAATAAAGGCCAAA